GGGTCCCACATGGCATGCAGACCTCTCCTGCAGCACCTGCTGCTCCCCTCAGCAGTGTACTTCGTCAGTCTGCCTGTTCTGTTCCCCGCTCTGGCTCTGGTGAATTCTTTCACCCTCCCGCGCTTCTGACTGTACCCAGTGCTTGTATAAATAAATAAACAAACCTTTAAAGAAAAAAAATTCAAAGTGAAAAGATAGAAATAAAGACACAATTCAGAAGACTTTTATGCAACATTTGGGGACTTAGAGAAAACTGCAAAAATTGACACATATTCAGACTCACCACTTAGTTCATCTTTCCATACACAGCACCATCCAAAATAATTTATGTAAAACCTACCACCTGAGAAAATGGAAATCCACATTATTTCACACCCCTTTGGGAGAACAAAATGTCAGTGGTGTAGAGTTACATTCTTTAAAGAAAATTCCTTTTGCAGATCATGTCATATTGACATGTACTAGAATAGCAATTAAAATATTCCAAATCTATTCCCCTCTTCCTGTAACTGTCCTTCTCACACTGTCTTCAAATCAAAGTACAAACTACCCTAGGGCAAAGCAATGATTGAACCATCTCCCAATTGCTCCTAGTACACAAATTCAAACATGGATACAGTGAATATTTTTATGTCTGCACCCTCTGAGGTGCATTCGGATTTCCCCAAATGATAAATAATCAAAAAGCAAAAGGAAATGTGAGCCAGCCTCGGCACGGGAGGTGCGGAGCGGGGGTGGTGTCCAGAGGAGGGAGATACAGAGAGAGGCTTTGCTTAAAGTAGTTTATGGATGATTTCCTAACACACCTCAAAAAACTTAGGACAAAGCCAAATGCCCTGAAACATGAATACCATTTACAGTCACAGCTCGTACCCCCAAAATATTTTATTGTTATTTGGCAATAAAACGAGTGTTCTTGAAAAGTGATATAAGATTCAAAGGCACTATAGTTTGAGGTGAAGAACATTGCTACCAATGCACAGAACCCTAATGTCCCAAAGTGATGTGCAAAAGCCTTCTTACTTCCTTCACAAAACATGAGAGCTAATTTCACATGAGAAAGCCCTCTAATTTATCTTCCAATATCTTATTGATTTTGGTTGTAATACTAACTAAACAAAAACTGAGTGACTCTAGGCTGAGGTTCCCAGAACTTCTCTGCATTCCCATGGGTAGCACACTTCACCCTGCACACACCTCATGCACTCTTTCTCTCTTCTGCCCCACCCCACCTCACAGATACAATGCCTTCTCTCCTGGCTACTTCAATAAGCCTCAACTCCTGCTTTTATTTTCTATTTTTGCCCTTCCACTTTGCCTCCTCCTTTTAGGTAAACTTCACCCCCAGCAAATGGCTATCCCAATGGGCAATGAATAGTTCTAAAGAAATAACACTGGTAAGAATCAGTGATTGAACCAGACAGAAAGATGCTTCAAAAATTAGTGACCTAACTATATAGAACTGGTGACCAAACTATACAGAAAATTGACCAAACTATGCAGAAAAGTATAAAGAAAGTAAAAGAAAAGCTGGTTGATACTTTGTAAACAATCCTTCAATCGGCAGTGAGTGGTTAAGCCAACCGAATTAGTTGAAGGAGGAATTCAATGCCTATATAATACTTTAAAAACTGTTATATAAAACTCTCTATGAAAACTTTAATTGAGGATTATTAATTTGAATGGCAGAATTTGTCACAGAAATCTGTAAGCTTGGAATAGACTGACCTGTGTCACCACCCAGCTAAGAGACCTTGAGCAAGTTATGAAACCTTTCTGAACTCTGTTGTCGTATCTATAGAGAAATGACAAGACCTACCTAACAGGGCAAGAGGACACATGACTGCACACATAGAAAGGGCACAGAATATACTTAGATAAAGAACAAAATAATGAGTAGTGAGCTGTTGAATACTAAGCTTTGTGAAGTGTTTTGCACATGCTGTCTCACTGAATCCTCACATCAGATGAAATTTTAGCTCCTCTTCCCTGGAGAGAGCAGAGTCCTTGTCAGTACCCAGTGCTTCCCCAATTTGGCTTTATGTTTGAATCACATGAGGAGTTTTAAGAAATCTTGATACCTGAGTTTCTCTTTTTTTATTTTTATTTATTTATACAAGCACTGGGTACAGTCAGAAGTGCAGGAGGGTGAGAGGATTCACCAGAGCTAGAGTGGGGAACAGAACAGGCAGACTGACGAAGTACACTGCTGAGAGGAGCAGCGGGCGGCAGGAGAGGTCTGCGCGCCATGTGGGACCCTCGCCGGCAACCGGGGATAGAACCGGTGCTGCAGAGGCTGCGGGCAGCTTCACAGCCAGCGCTCAACCGGAGGCATTGATACCTGAGTTTCTTATTAAGAGGTCTGAGACGTAGACCAGACACTGGGATTCCTAAAAGCTCCCGAGGTGACCCGGTGCACAGATACAGTTGAGAATGATTGTTCCATAAACGCCTTTCCCCTCCGACCTTCCACCTTGCTGCATCGCTGGGCAATACTTTCACCCTTGAGGGGGCAAGTACATTTAACCCACATTCAAATTCTAGTGGCGCTTATCAATGAATTAGCCAATCATTCATTCACTGGGAATTTGGATAGAAAGACGACATGGTTACCAGCATATGGAAAATTAACTGGAAGCCTAGAATACTAAATGTAACAGTAAGCCAGCAGTAATTGTCTAGGGTGTTCGATCATGCCCCAGACAGCACAATGGTAGGTGCTGGAGGCAGAGAATGAAAAACACAGACACACAGCCTGACCGGATGGCACTTTAAGTCAATTGATAAGAACTGTAAGGAAGGTAATATCTGGCTGCACTGGAAAAAAAAAGGAATGACCTCCCTCCAGAGTCTGTTTCCCAGGTTGGAGAAGCACAAGCACTGAGGATGAAACAGCATGAAAGTGGGAAGGTGGGTAAGAGGAAAGGTCTTGCTAAGGACAGGTGTGACTGAAAGCCAAGTGTAGACACTGAATTATCTGCACTGCCTTAAAAGCATCTTGTTTTCCCACATGCAGCCTGGGAATTCAGGAAAAGTCTTCATGAGGGGGAGCTCTGCACTGACTCTTCAAGGAAGAAAAGGTGGTACTCAGGTTGAGAGATGGTGTGAAGATTCTAAAGAAAAAGACAACACGGGCAACAACTTTGAAAGAAACATGGGCAAACTGCGTCAGAGGACCTGCCCGCTTTCCTCCCCTTCTCTCCCAAATCTCCAATCTCTCCTCCACCCCCTTTTACTGTCTACCCCAACTCTTTATATCCCTGTCTCTGCCCCAACCATTTTTTTCCTTTTGCTTGTTCCTGTAAGTGGCCTCTAACACCTCTGACCCACCGACGCCACCCGGACCCTCCCTCCACTGCCTCATTCTGGGTCATTGTCCTGGAAGCAGGGCCAGATTCACTGACCTGCGCTCAGCGGGTCCCCACGCTTGATTTAATGCTCTGATGTCACCATCTGGAAATACTTAATAATTTTTGAACAAGAGGACACACATTTTTATATTGCACTGTATCCCACAAATAATGCGGTTTGTCCTGCCTAAAAGATTTAGGGACTGACCAGTCTAGGTGCAGCAAATAATTTTTGAGAAGTCACCTCTGGTGCAATGATCTTTTAAAAACTGACTGAGTTTGTGGATTGTCTATAATATCCATTTATAAAATACATGGGCTATTAAATTGGATGCTGACACAAATGAATAAAACCTCTTTTTCTCTCTGAAAAAATTCTAGTGAATAAACAAATTGCAATATGGAAGCCACAGATGGGAAACATAAGACATTAACAAGACATCATCCTTCAGAACAACTGTTCATTGGACTTCCTACCCCAGGTCCATTCCTGGCCTCCTCTGAAAGAAAGATAACTTTTACAAATTACTGGAGGAGAAATGTAGCGAAACCAGTGCTTAAAGAAAAAATGCAGGAAGACTGAGGAAGACTGCTGTTGAGGCACCATCAAACCATGAGAGCAAAACATTTCTCTTCTGGGGAAGGATTTTTCAGTCCAGAGAAAAAGCCTGGGAGAACACTAGTCCATGTGCATACAACAGTGATGAAATGATACCCATCCTCACTGAAAAGGAAGAGCTTTCTTAAGATTCTCTTTGTTCCATCAAGTACAAAAGGGTGCTGGCCACATTTTTTAAATTGCAATGATACAATGGAATAAATTAATTTATGATCAACTCCCCCCCAGAAAGAATTTTGAACTTGGGATTTCCAAAATAAAACTAAAGCTGAACTGAGTTCCCATGCCTTCCCATAGGAGCTTGCTCCTCATTTGTATGACAGATGACAGGTAGGCAGGTTCTGGAGCCACCAGAACCTGGAAGAGGTAGGCCAGCACTGGCCAACTCCCCTCATGACAAGGTAGTCTTAAGGGCTAACTAAAGTTCATTTATCTAAAAGTGCTTAAATCTGGGTGAATGAGTCATTCATATAAAGTGTATACTATTGCTACCTGAGATCACTCCTTTTTCTCATCTTAAGTCAAGACATCCTATGACTTCCTTTTCCTTGCTCAGACCAAGTCTATCTGTCAGTCCCTGCTCACCTCTGTCTTGCCCAGCTACAGATGCCACTGAGGATCTGTCTCTTGCTAGCTTCTAGAGAATCCACAAACCCTTCATGTTCTTTGACTTGTAGTTGTGTTATTTCACTCTTATCTTCCTACTTCACATGTCTTTTCTCAGTATCCTCTCCCCTTCTAATAAGTTATTGGATTTAGGACTCCACTAATCTAATAAGATCTCATTTTGACTGATTACAAATGCAAAGACTACTTCCAAATAAAGTCACATTCTGATGTTTCAGGTAAACATGAATTCTAGGGGGATAGTATTCTACCTACTACAGTGACCTTATTTGGTAGGATCTTTGCAGATGTGAATAGTTAAGGATCAAGATGAGATCATACTGGATAGGGTGTGTCCTAAACACAATGACTGGTGAGGTTATAAGGAGAGAGGACCAAGTGAAAACTGAGACAGAGTTTGGAGGGATGGAGCCTTAAATGAAGGAATGTGGGAGCCACCAGAACCTGGAAGAGGCAAGGAAAGATTTTTCCCTAGAGTCATCAGATAGAGCGTGGCCTACTGACACGTTGATTCTGGACTTTCAGTCAACAAAACTGTGAGAGAATAAGATTTTATTGTTTAAACCACCAAGTATATGGTAATTTGTTGCAGCAGCCCTCAAAACTAACTGGAAGAAGGGGAAGGATAAAGATGAAGAGTTTTTGAACATGACCAAATGACTTTAACACTTAGATGAACTTCCAATTAAAAAAAAAAACAAACTAGGGGGCCTCCCCAGTGGCGCAGCGGTTGAGCGCTGGGTTGCGAAGCTGCCCGCAGCCTCTGCAGCGCCGGTTCGATCCCCAGCTGTTCCCCGGCCACCTGAGGAGGGTCCCACATGGCGCCCAGACCTCTCCTGCCGCCCGCTGCTCCCCTCAGCAGTGTACTCTGGTCCTTCTGCCTGCTCTGCTCCCCGCTCTGGCTCTGGTGAATTCTCTCACCCTCCCGCGCTTCTGACTGTACCCAGTGCTTGTATAAATAAATAAAATAAAATAAGTAAATAAATCTTTAAAAAAAAAAAATAAAAAAAAAATAAAAAAATAAAAAAAAAAAACAAACTAGGAAGAAATGCATCTGTGTTAACACAAACTCCAAACCTATATAATTTAATGTCAAGGCTAATTAAATCAAAGGAATATAATAGTCAGAACTCTTTAAATTTTACTTGGTCTGTTCCTGAAGCAGTTGTATGGAAGAAAACATTCTTGGAAGGCTGGGATTAAGCTACTAGATATTTCCTTTATTTATTTATTCATTTATGTATTTATTTATTGTGTAGAGTAGACTTTTGAAAAAGAGGAAATTTTAAATTGTTTATCAGGAAACCCCTGCTAAGGAAACAACCAGTTCTTAATAAACTAAAGATTCTTGAGGAGATTAATAAAGAATAAACAGAGAGATACAAATGAATGTGCGAGACAAAGTTTTTATTCCCAGTGACCTTGCGAACTAGGATGAGATGGTTCCACCCAGTTGAGCTCATCTTGCTCAGCCTTCCTCTTCCAGAATGTCTATAAACTAAATCCCTCCTCAGTTCCTTCTCAAAAGCAGTGGAAGATATTACTGAGAGCTGAAACTTCAGAAATTACCTTTGAAAATGTTTGGGTGTGTAGAAAACTACACCCAGACCTAAAGGAATAATAACGTTTTTGGAAACTAAGAAAATGTCTCTAGCTATCAATAGAATTTTCTCACAGGGCTTTGTTCTCTTAATTCCTAATTCTGCAAAGTACCTGGGTGAAATGAAGGGGCAGGGTTTTGAGTTTCATTACAATGTATTTTTCTAGAGAAAAATGTTATCATCTCATTAGCAAACAAAGTAGACTTAAAAGAGGTTCCTTCAGTAATAAAATTCCATTGAATATAGGGCTATCTTTAACTGAATTTATTGATGTGAACAATTCTACAATGAACTTTCAGTATAAAGCTGAAGTTAGTAGCAAATGCCACGTATCTGTGTTGATTATTCTGCCAAGTCAGATCCATCAGCCACCTTTTTCTCCATGGCTCCAAGGACCTATGGATGTGCATTACTCTGGCAGGTGGGGTGGTTACTCTGGCAGGTGGTGCATTACTCTGACAGGTGGGATGTGCATTACTCTGGCAGGTGGATGTGCGTTACAATGGCAGGTGGGGTGGTTCCTTTCATACAGCTCTATCCAGTCCAACCCCAATTAACTCTTCCCTCCCATGTTCCATAAGGCCCAGGTAGAGATAGCTTCCCACTGTGGTCAGTTCCTAGGCACCTCTCCATTGTCTTAGAATCTCTAAGCCTGTCTACACTTCTGTAAAGTGCAGCTTCACTAAGGGGCCCTGAGTTAAATCCTAGGGCCTGCCACTGGTTTCCCACCAAGAAGCATGACTGATCAAGTAAAAATGTCAACATCTGTAAGTCAATTATACATATGTATATGTAATATAATTCAAATAAATAGGTGCATGTAATAGAATACAAATAAATAATCAAAGCAACACACAAGATGACTTCACTTTAGGTGCCTTTTCACTGTTCCATGTTTACATATTGAAATTTAGTCTATCCTCTAAGAATCTGCTTTAACATATTTCTGCACACAGTTCCTTCCAACATTTGAGCCTCTATTTATTATTGTTATTGCTATAATTTTGGACTTTACTTAAGGTATTTTTCTCACTCTGCTTTATCTTTCTCTCTGTTCCAGTTGTGACCCCTTTTTTTGGCTAAAATCTCCTTAAAATGAAGGATAGAATGGTACAAATTTTTATGACTCTTCCCAACCCAGTAAGTAGTTCACGAGAAGCACAAGTGTCCAATAACTGTGTGCTGCTGTCATAAACTATAACCAGGTAGGTATTTCAAATTATTCCCCACTATCAAACTAAGACCATCTCCATAAACAGGCATATCAGATTTTCCTATAATACATACATACATTATATATTACATATAACATATACACCCTCCACTAAAATTTTTACCCAGTATTTCCTTTTCCATTTGTCTTTTTATTTACATAGAAAATTTTTCTTCCTGTTCCCCTTTCCATTACAGCTGTAGTTGTCCCTGATCGGCCAGCTTTCCTTCTGGCCTTGATGTCTCCAGATACCAGCTATGGGTGTACCTTGAACCTTCCTCTAGGTGGCTCCTTTTTCTGCCTGCTCTGTCACCTATTTATCATGTTGAATTATCTACCATGTCTGAGCTTTGCTTTCTTTAATAAAAAGTAAAACTTTAGGCATTCATTGATTCAATTATTCAGTAGCCATTTGTTGAAGATTAGCCACTGTTAATGGACTCAAGGAAGCAAACCCTCCTACATGGATTTTCAGTCTGGTGGGGGAAACCAGACGAGAAAGCCAACTACAGTGTGTGTGGATGGGAAGGTGACAGGTATTAGTATGGGGTCCTAACAGAGCACACAGGAGGGTGTGGTTGGTGGAAAGGGGTAAAGGAAGAGGTCCCAGAAGAAGAGAATACTAAACCAAGTCCCCAGTTCTAAGTTAAAGTTAGATGGAAAAAGAAACATCCTTGATATTTCATTGATTTTGAGAATTATGGAAGTAACAGTCATAGTTGCACCAGCAAAAGATGCTTTTTTACAACTTAAATTCATACAAATTTACTTGAATTCTACTATGTATGAAGAGAAATTAACTGCTCTAGTGAATCTGACAAGTGAATTAAATTCAACTTCAAAATTAAATTATCCCTCTGCTGGAGATTCACTTAGAGCAGCAAGATGCAGGAGAAAAGTAATGTAAATTAAAATTACACTTAAAAATTCAATATGTCACTGTGATCTTACGATGATGTTTATTTCATGTTTAAGTCACTACAATTTTCTCCTCCTACAGAAGAGCCTCCTGAATGACTTTGCCAGCAACTGGGAGCTGCCTCTGGATGGCGATGAGGCTCCCAGCTCCAAGAGTCCTCTCACTTCACCGAGAGAGAGTAGCGGACACTGATGGAATACTTTAATTTTTTAATAAATTTAACTAAATTAATGCTATTAACAACCAACCAACTTACACATTTTCAAAGTTAATTTATTATCTATAATTTGAATAGGTATTACATATTAAAAGTTTATTTGTAAGACATTTAATTGATATTTAATAGTGCTACATCTCCAGGCTAAGTAGGCCTCACAAGTTTATTACAGCAGACATTATGGTCAACATATCAAACAACCTCACCAGAGGGGAAAATCTATGGCCAATGATCAAATACAAAGGCCTGGAGTCCTGATTCTAATGAAGTAAATGAAGTTAGGGCCTCTGAGGCAAAGACTGGAAAAAGGGCTGTGGGTACAGTTAAGTGGGGTGTCTGGAGCTCTTGCACTGCACCAAGGAAAGAAGGGAGGGCAGAATCTCATATTCACCAACTACTAACTTTGTGGCCAATGACAAATTTTGTTCTCTCTTCCAGTCTTTACCCCCAATGTAGGAATGGCAGTGAGGATTAAGTCAGGTACATATGGAGCACACCTCCACAGTGTCTGCCACAGAGCAGGACTCAGTAAATACTGGCTCCCTTCAATTCCTCCCTTTGCTTTTTGAACCTTTTTGGAACCTGTTGCCAGTCAAACCTATAGGGCTGAGGAAAAAGAATTCAGCGAAAACCATGTGGTATGTGCACATGTGTACACATGAGTGCGTGTATACATACATGTATATATGTACATGTAAATAATAAGCACGTGGTCCAGTGAATGTAAGAATTTGATTGAATATTGGGTTATTTTCCACCAGCTCCAAGCACTATGCTGAAAGAGCCTATTTCCTTTTCTACCAATACCATTCTTGTCACCACTCTGTTCCCAGGCCACTGCAGTGTGAATCATAGCATTCCTTCTCACAGTCAAAAGCCATCATTTTAATGGCTGGCAACATGTTAAGGGGGGGTTCCTAGTTGGTTCCATATCTCTGGGTTAGTATGAAAAGGCAAAAGGAGACAGCCTGGAGGCAACTGTTTCTATAAGTCAATCCACAAGGCACCACAGGGTCAGGGTGAACGAAAAGAGAATGACCCAGTGGGGTCCCACACACGAGGCCTGAGCCCAGAGGAGAGGAGCATTATGGACAGAGGCTGTAGTAACATTTCACATGTGAGCATGTGAAAAGAAACCCTTCTCATGTATGCACAGACAACACGTGGCTTAGCCCAGTGGCACCTGAGGGGTAATAATACCATTGGAACTATAAGCTGTTTGCTTTCAAGAAAAGGAGGGTTATCAGCCACAGGAGTAAGGATGAGCAAGATACTAGAACCCAGTGCTTCCAAGCATCTTGGACATCAGGGAAGGAAGCATTCAGAAAGGAAAACCATGGGAGAACTAGTTCATGACCACATATGAGATGACCCCAGCAACTCCCAAACAACTCCGGGGAATTCACTGGGAGGCAGAGAAGTGGCACTGAGGTCTCAGCAGGAACACAAAACAGGAAAGCTTGAGTTCCCTTGATGTGCTTATTTTTCATTCATTGGAAGGTGAGGCCTGTGAAAAGGCACAGAGAAGGCCAAGGAAGAGCCCAGGAGGAAGCCCAGGGCCTGCATGTCAGGCACGTCAGAGTGACTGCAGGGATCTATATTCCAATGATTGGATAGCAGGACAGAGTAAATGGTTACACTGCCACTATGTAGATTATATAGTTTCTAAATATTATGGCACCGATATTACTAAGCATGTCTCTTCTAAGCAAACATAAGCTGAATCCTTTTGTTGATTGCCACCCAGAGATGACAATGATGTCTGGCTAGCATTTATCAGATTCTTGGGCAGAGGACCCCATATAAATATCAATTATAATCAACTTTTCCCATTCTACAGTGGCCTTTTATCTATAATAAATGAAGTTTTGATCTCTAAGCCATATACCATACAATCAGCACCTGCAGAGTAATGTCTCCAGCATCTAAATTCTGATTCATTTATGCCGGTGCTCGAGGAATACTTCTTATAATGACTTTGCTTATCTAATAATTATGCCTTTGGTGCCTTCTAAACCACAGCAATATATACTGATTAATATTTAAGTGGTTTCACACTGAGATAAGACAGGCTGTGAAATATCTTAGCTATGTCTGAGATAGAAAAGAGCTGTGACTTTATTTGAACTATAATACAATAGTTCCTGATCATTTAATAAGAATGTTTAACCCAATGGATAACCACTGCTTTCCAGGCTAACACTTCAGTTGTTGATTTAGAGATATTCTGAGATATGCAAAAGAACAACTTTGAGGGGAAGAGGGCAAACAAGAGTGCAGAAGACCCTGGTTGGCAGGTATTTGTAACTATAATTTAGGAAAAACGACAGAGGTATACAGCCCAGGACAATTTCAGATCTCCGAACTGATCAACTAGAAATCAGAAGGATGTATGGATAATGTTCCTGAGTCTAATTTGTTTCCTACTATATAATACAGTAGGTTATACATATAAAAGCTTTGGATCAGGGAAATTGAAAGAAAAATTTTAGAGTGGGAATTTCACAAAATCTTGCAAAAGAGTAAGAAACATTAAACAACAAAGAGTTTGAATCCCAACATATCCAAAGGATGAAACAGAGCAAAAAAAGAATGGAACAGAAAATTATGAGGCCTGAGCTATGGTCCTGAAGTTTACACTAACTCACTCATGCCTTTGACAGGTCTTTTCATCATCAGTCAAGAGAAAATGATACATGAAAAGGATCATTTTGAAACATCAACGAAAAGCAATAGTCACGAGTTTTTCCCTTTTTAAGCAGTATTCATGGTTTTAAAAGCATATACTCCCACTTATCAGTATAAAACAATTGCCCTGGATAGAAGGCAGGATATGCCATTAACCCCCAAGGAATAGAAACTAAGAAAGTGGAAATTCTATAATATTCCTGAATTGCTGTTGTTTTGATACCCCAGTCTCACAAGCAGTGACACCTGCCCAAAGACTGAGGAGACTGATGCAAACGCAAACAGCAATCAATCGCAATGTTGCAGAAACAGCCACCATTCTCCTGGTGTCTAATTTTATGACCTTCAGTAAGCCTCACATTTTCTCATGCTTCAGTTTTCTCATCTGAATATGTATGTAATATTATCTAAACCATTCTTATCATAAAAAGAAGGAAAATTTTTAAAATATTCAAAATCGAGAAGCATTTCAGATCAGAAAGTACCAGTTTTGAGTCCTAATGTGCTTAATGGAAAAATCACTGAGCTTGGAATCAAAATACTGACTTTGAAAGCAGGTTTGCTGTAAGAGCTGGGAGACCTTCTAAGCTCTGTTTTATGGTCTGATAAGGGCGAACTGCCAAATTTTCCTTGTTCACCCCAAGATTGCCAAATTCAAATGAGATTATGTACTTCATGGCATTCCTTGAGCTCTACTGACTGTTAAGACTGAGCTCCTGACAGCCTGGATAGAACAGGAGTAGCCTGGCGAACTGTTTCTGCTCTCCTCCAGCCATTTTCACAGGCCCAACCACTGTAAGTCAGGGATCTTCAGAATCCCCAGAAGGTGAAGGTACACCTACAAAAGAAGTGAATTGAACCTAAGCTTCACGGCTTTATGTAAATTCAGGAAGAGTAACTTAAACTTGTTAGAAATGGCTAATCATTATTCTTAACTGGTTTGTGAAACCATAGCAGCAGATACAAGCAAAAGCTTATTTACCAACAAGTTCATGTTGCAATAAAATCTTTTGTCCCAATTAAAATGTAGCAAGAGCCAATTGGTAATGATCTGGGTCTTCACCATGGGAAAAAAAAACCCACATTGTCAGGATTGGCTGGATTATGACAAGGCTCTCCAGAAATGCTTTTCACACCATACCCAAAAACAGGACCATCCTGGAAAGAAGTCCAAATAATCCCAGATGATCTTTGCTCATTTTATTTTATTTTAAGATTTATTTATTTATTTATACAAGCACTAGGTACAGTCAGAAGCACGGGAGGGTGAAAGAATTCACCAGAGCCAGAGCAGGGAACAGAACAGGCAGAAGGACCCAAGTACACTGCTGAAGGGAGTAGCGGGTGCAGCAGGAGGGGTCTGCACGCCATGTGGGACCCTCGCCGGTGGCCGGGGATCGAACCGGTGCTGCAGAGGCTTGCGGGCAGCTTTGCAGCCCAGCACTCAACCACTGCGCTATGGGGGAGGCCCACTCATTGCTCATTTTATGGATAATTCTTCTGTCTACATACTATTTTGGATATTTTTTTTTCTTATTCAGAAAGGTAGGTTTTTCTCCCCCCACAAGAGTAACCCTGAATTCCCTTTAATTATAGGGGTAGCTCCTGGCAGTGGTGGGGAGCTCCTTAAATAAAATGGGAAAAGAAGGGGACAGAAAAGAACAACAAGGCCCCTCTTGATTAGAGATCTTCTTTGTAAAATATTTACTGGAGATCTTCTTTGTTAAATATAGATTTAGATACCAATCTGCAACAGTTCAATCTCTACCACACATTTAGTGCCCAGAAGCCTTGTTCCTCAGTAGGGACTATTTCTCCAACATTTTTTTCCAGCTCTGAATTTAAATCCACCTAATAATAAAACATTTTCTAAATTATGTTTAAAATTGTAACATAATTATCATATTACATTCCTAATTTTGTACCAAGAATTTTTTTTTAATTCTTATTGCCTCTCAATTTTGGCACTGAAAGAATTAATTGAATCATCAGTCTCTTAAGAGCAAGAAAAGATTTTCTACTCAACTTTCAAATTCCTCAAAGGAACTGAAAGAGTTTTATATCTATATAGAGTTAGTGCTGCTTATAGCTGATGGGGCAACTGGTCTCGTGTAAAAGGCACCATGCCATAGAATGAAAATAAACAAACAAAAAGCATCAATTTCAAACTGTCACCAGCATCCAGAGCAAACAAATGCCTTTCTATTTGTTTGTGATTTCTAACTGGGCTGTGTTTCGTCTGTCTACTTGAGCTCCAGGTTGCCTATTCATAGGGTGGA